ATCTAGAATGTCAGACCTAGCTAAAAGAGCACCAGGGCCGAAATGTTGGACATGGGCGATAATCGTATAATATATTGAGTTTTTTTTCTTTTTAGGATGATGAGTCTTATTTAATATTTCATATTTAATTTTTATTCCTAAGGCCATAACATTTAATGCAGGCAACAATTTGCCACATTGTTATTATTGTTAAAATTATTAGGATAGTGAGTTTATATAATAAGAGCGGCCTTGTTTGGCCAAATCACGAACACCCGATAGTCTTTGTTGCATACTCTTTTGCTATGAACGGGACTAAGCAAGTTTGTGATGCACTGGGATGGAGGAGACATAAAATACTCTGGGTATATTAGAATTAACCGAGTCCAGGTGGGGATAAGAAAGGTCGCGAATAACGCGGAATTTATAAGGTTCAGATTTAGTAATAATGTGTAATGGTGAACATTTAAAATATGGAAGAGGGAGATAAAATTGGGCCAGCACTCCCCCCAGAGGATAAACCTGATTAATATAATCCAAAATCGCTTCAGGATGAGTACGGGCTGATAAATGATTATGAAATGCGTATATGCTAGGAGTGGTGGTGCAATGAAGGCAGGAACCCTTGGAAATATATTGATGAGAAAATGCACCTTATGAGGATCCTAACCTTAAGTTCCAATTGTAACAGGGAATGGGTAATTGGAGTTGTTAGACAATGTTGTAGGCGGGTCTGTAACTGGGCGTAGGATGTGGGGCAATCGATTTTAGGATGGGATCCCAGTACCAGCAACAGTGCTAAATTAACATAGACTAAAGGTGCATTATTCCCTTATATAAAAAGCAAAAAAAAAAAAAAAAGATGCCTAGACGAAATGGACGTAGAAAAGGGGGGGGGGGGGTATTCATGGTTGCCACTTTTAACGGTAACACGGGGATAACTTATCCCACGGGACCAGTGGTGTTGGTCGTAAGTTGCAAAAGGCGCCATCATAAAGACGCCAATCATTAGCATAAGGAGCTTCTTAATGTTCTAATAGATAAGCCGTACGTAAGTAAGTTTACAGAATCATATAAATGTTTTGTTTGAAAATCGCTGAAAACAAAAACAAAAACAAAAAAAAAAACTTCAGTCCAAAGGTAAAGGGAAATCAGCGATTTTTACGAGGGCATGTGGATCACTTCCAATTTCATCGGCTGGACCCGTGTGTTTACAGTGTCGAAAGACTGCTGATATACTGGGTACAGGGTATCTGCTGCTGAACGTTAGTCTCTTGCAGGGAGGAGTCGGGAGAAGGAGAAGCGCACGGCATTACTGTGCCGGTGTCATGTACCAGAAAGTCCCCCATGACAGAAAGTCCGGGACCCGTTATTTCAGAATCCAGGGGTCCGTAGTTATTAAATATACATGCTTATGGAGTGTAATTGAAAATGTACTCATTTAATTTTTTTAAACAATTTATATAAAGTTTTAATTTAAGTTGCATACCCTAAATTAAAATGAAATCAACCCAAAAGGAATGTATTCCATGTTTCTCAATAACATTAGAAATCTTAATTAAAGTTTTTTCCATTGTGTATTATATGGACAACAATAAAGCAAGATTGTATCAACAAGAAGGATTTGATATCTACATGTACTTTAACATATATTTATAATGTGAAACTATGGTTTATATTTTTCTCATTTTAGACGAAGCACTGGCACAGATGTTTTATCAAGTTTGCATGATGATGGAAATGCGGGTGACAACGGACAATGAGGAGAAAAAACAATTACTATACTGATTAATAAAATAAACTTTCTTTTTGTAAAATCAGGAAGTTCACCAAAGGCACTTATGTATTCTGAATAAATTTACATTACTTAAGTTATGTTCTTTCTCAATTGCATACAAAAGATAATCCTGCAAATTAAAGTTTATGAAATTCGAACAATGCGCGTTTATACTACGCGTTACTCTTTAAAAGAGGTTAATAATGTTTTTTTTACCTTTAATTCTTATAATTCTTACCTCCATATCAGTTAACATCATGTTCAATTTCATTTTTAAATTGCAAGTTTTAAGTGTGAGATTTCATTATTGCTCTTCAATGCGGACTTTCAGTATTAAAACGTAGGGTCCTAGGACTTTCCGTACTGAAATAGAGTGTCTAGGGGGACTCTACATTTCAGAACATAGAGTCCGGGACCCGTTATTTCGAGACAGAGAGTCCGCCGGACTCTCAGTTTTAAAACACCGGGTCCGCCGGACCCAAGAATGGCAGGACACTGTGTTGCTTGACACCGGTTTGACTCGGCTTCTTTCCACCAGGAGCAGTGGATGCAGGAGCCAATCGTCGTTTGCTGGATAATGAGCGCGCATTGGAGACAACCGACATCCTGGACCGCTTACGGTACTCCACCCGGGAGGGGTCTTGGAAGGCATGGTAACATAAAATCAAAGGAAACTAAGAAGACCGCGCAAAGGCAGTTGCATTTATATATAAGACAATTCAGTAATAAAAATTTCCCGGGCCAGGTAATTCAAGTAAGTAAACGGAATAAGTAATATGAATAAAATATACACTTGTACAGAGAACATAAAACCCGGCATAAACCCAACGAATAGCCTGGGTAGATATGGCATGAGCCATATTGATATAAAAAGTGAAAAAAACATTTCCTAGTCCGCCGCCAGAGAAAATCCATGCAGGCAACAGCCTCAGCTTAGCCGTGCACGTAAAAACAGGGATATCTGGAAAGCCGACTAGGCAAACGAACATACAGCTGGGTGACTCCCCAGAATAGGGGCATAACAGCTCCCAAAAAAATTAAAACCTAGTATACCAGATACCACCTAAGGGTTCTCACTACTAGGCAAACAGTTAAAAAACCTGGGAAATACACCCAAAACCTAGTATACCAGATACCACCAAAGGGCTCTCACTACTAGGCAAACAGTTAAAAACCTGGGAATACACTCAGAACCTAGTATACCAGATACCACAAAAGGGCTCTCACTACTAGGCAAACAGTATAAAACCTGGGGAGTACACCCAGAACAAAGAGCATAAAAACTCCAAAAATGCATATTGCCTAGTCGACCAGAAACCCCTAATAATACTCCACCTGGTAATGCGGACACGGAGACAATCGGAAATAGGATATGAATAGATTACGGCATGTCAATGACAGCCAGGAATTAGGACATATGAAAACTGCAAAAACACCTGGCCCGATAGGAATATAAACATAAATAAAATAGATGCACACAAAAGAAAAAAAATCAAGAATAACATGATGAGTGACACCTAAACAAAATAGGTAACAACTGTAGTTGCATAACACAACAATTATAAATGTATTGATAAGAACACATGAAAAAAGAGGGGAAAATGAAGAC